CTCCCCCTCACTTATCTCAGTAATGATGGATTAGAAATCCATGACACCTCAGAACAGTAGATGATAATGGTTGCTGTGGTTAACTGTTATTTGGCTACTGGTAATGGCAGAGCCCCCAGAGATGCGTCCCTTGCTGTGTTCCGCTGCTCCCTGCTCTGCCCAGAAAAGAGCTTTGACTGCGACTCAAAGCTGATCCTTGGCTTTACCATCTCTGAAGGGAGAGGCTGAAAGGTCCCTCCTTTCAGGGATGGCAAAACCACAATCAAAGCTCTTTTCTAGGCTGCCCCTGTGATGGGGCAGCCCAGAAAAGAGCTTTGACTGTCGCTCAAGCTGATGCTTGGCTTTGCCATCTCTGAAGGGAGAGGCTGAAAGGTTTCCTCCTTTCAGGGATGGCAAAGTGGAGGGCTTTGATCCGCAGCCAAAGCTCTTTTCTGGGCTGCCCCATTACAGGGGCAGACCAGAAAAGAGCCATGACTGCAGTTCAAAGGCCGCTTTTCCACTCCCAAAAGGAAGGACCCTTGCAGCTTCTCCTTTTGAGGATGGAAAAGCCGTGGATCGATCTCCTTTGAGCTGAAGTCACGGCTCTTTTCTGGGTTGCCCCTCAGCAGCTGCATGTCACCAGAAATGGCTATGGTTGTTAGTGCTGACATGCATGTCATAGGTTCGCCATCACAGTAATAGGGAATACAATGACTTGTATGATTCTAACTTTTGTGCTGAGTTGTATATCATTGCATTTTAGAATCTTTTCAAGTTCTTTCATAGCCTCTCTCTCCATTCTTAATCCTTTTCTGATTTCCTGACTTGGACTTCTGGGATTTCTCTCTCCATGTATGGTTGGAGTCTATGTTTCAGAATTTGAGCATAATTTTGCTTGCATGGGAGATCAGTGCTATGATCCTTTAGTTGCTCCAGTCTCTTGTGTCTCCCTTTTTGTGAATGGGGATGTATATTGACCACTTCCAATCTGTTGGCCATCGCTTTGTTTTCTATCTCTTTTGGCATATGTTGGTTAGCACTAGAGATGACTTTATCAGTGTGGACTGCAGCAGTTCAA